TAAGGTAACTATAAGTATAACCCCCAATTAGCGTACTTATAACCTTACTTACTAAGTCCCATGATCCTCCAAGCAGTTGTCCCTGCGCCACTTGATGCCGCAACAACCTGAATCTGAACCCGTGTTGATAGAGTGTCCGCTCAAAGGAAGCTGTAAGCATGAAGCTAGTAGGAGCCTTAATAATCAGAATAAGGTTTTGGGGTATATTATGATATAAGTATAACAAGGAACCCCCAACTAATCTAGGTAATTATTCAGGCTCCTATATGAATGATCGATTATGAATGATCGATCTGAAACTCCTGCCGACGGACTGCAGGAATGCACAACTGTGCGAGAGAAGCTTCAAGTGCAGAGCTTCGCTGGACTGTCATGTGTGCGCATTTCGAACTGGCACACCCAGAGAGCCCAACTTACCCCTGAAATGAGGAATATATACCTCAAATTATGGGGCCTTGATACTAGGATTTGAGGTATATTCCTTAATTAAGGGGTGCTGGGCTCTCTGCTGCAGTATGTATGTGCTAGAAATTAACCACAATGGAGCAGATGGCACTATTCGACAGCGAGCGCGAAACCCAGAGAGCCCAACTTACCCCTGAAATAACGGAGTATATACCCTAAATCCTACTATTAAGCCCCCCCCATAATATAAGGTATATTCCTAAATCCTAAACCCTTAGAGGCCCCCATAATGTAAGACATATTCCTTAATGTAAGGGGTAACAGGGTTTAGGGTTTAGGGGTAAGTTGGGCTCTCCAGGGAAACACTTCAAGCTGCAGACAAATGCGCTCCCCCGAAGGTCCGCATGCTACTTGGAGGATCATGGGACTTAGTAAGTAGGGTTATAAATAAGGTAACTATAAGTATAACCCCAATTAGCGTACTTAGGGTTTAGGGTTTAGGGTTTAGGGTGTACTTGGAGGATCATGGGACTTAGTAACTATAGGGTTATAAATCAGGTAACTACAATTATAACCTCCAAATAAGGTACTTATAACCTTCAAACCCTAAACCCTAAACCCTAAAAGACCTAAAAACCATAAAAACCCTAAACCCTAAATCCAAAAGCCCCTAAAAACCCTAACTTACTAAGTCCCATGATCCTCCAAGTAGGGTCATGCAAAGAGCAGCTCTTTCTGGGCCCTGACAAGAAAACACAACGCAAGGTTCGATGTCTTTAAAGGGTTTAAGGTTTAGGGTTTAGGGTTTATAGAGTTTAGGGTTTAGGGGCTTGGGGTTTGGAGTTTAGGGGTTTAGGGTTTAGGTTTTAGGGGTTCAGGGTATTGGTTTAGGGGTTTAGGGTTTAGGGTTTAGGGTTTGTAGGGTTTAGGGTTTAGGGTTTAGGGGTTTAGGGGTTTAGGGTTTAGGGGTTTAGGGGTTTAGGGCTTAGGGTTTAGGAAAACACAACGCAAGGTTCGATGTCTTTAAACTAATCTACTGGTTCCCTGTTGGGGCTATAGCAAAAATGATCATTCTTAATCCTTATTCGGTTTTCTTATAACAAAAATGTAAAATTAAGATTGTATCCAAAAAGGACTCGGTCTAATTGAAGAGCACTCAACATCCAACACCAAAGGCAGATATTCATACGGCATAAACGATTTCCTAAGAAAACCGCAAACCCTCAACCGCCGTAGTGCTCTTGACTGGGCCCCAGACGGTCCACTCACCCGTGAAGGCACCCATTTCCTTGGAATCCAAAGGCTCGGACCATGTTGGCTTTGCCACGGGCTTCTTTCACACAGCCTGGCTACAAGGAGCCCACAAGTGGTTTCCAACCTTAAACTTTCCAACCGATGTAAGCGCATATGACATATGATTTCTTCGGTGGTCGTTTCTTGCTGTGTTCGCCTTAGCCTGTGACATTGAAAATTCATGGCCGTGAGCAACTCGCGCCTAGAACAGTCGAACACAAACGGCTGAGACAGAGGTGTAGGTACTTGGCTTGAGGCCAGAGTGCAGGGGCTGCAGTCTTCAAACATTCAGTAATAAACTGGGAAAAGGTATATACTTTTGGGCTAGTTATATTATATTATAAGAACCAACACCCACAAAAAAACAAAAACACCATACTACTGAACATCCTAGTTCATGCGAGCATCATTCTTGCCCACGTTCTGCGAGGAGACCTGGCGCCAAGAGGGGTGAAGGATCCCGGGAAGCTTCTTGCAAGAGGCGGTCCCGTGCTCAGGCGCTGCTTGAAGGAGTTCATCATGAACCCAGGGAGCCCAACTGACCCCTTAATTAAGGAATATACCTTAAATCTTCATATTAAGGACCCTATAATTTAAGTCCCTGAGAAAGGGGTATTGGGCTCTCTGGTGAACGCCACAAAAGCACCAAGCTTGTCTCCTGAA